GCTGTGGTTCCTGACCAAACCCAGTCAGCAGTCTGAAACAGACGGCACTGATTCAGCTCCCGTGAAGTCGCTCCACGCTGTCGGGCTTTAACTCGTCGGTGATGCTGTGAAACTTTTGCAGACTTTCTTGTCAGTTTGTCTGCAATCAGCAGAGCAGTGGTTCTACCTCGGAGAACGAGGGATTGGTTCAGTGTCGGCTGTTCTTCCGTGTGCCGGAGTTTTTCTGCTTTTTATAGCTGATGCAAATTTGGTCTGCTCTTTGTGCTGATTGAGCCGCCGTGCTTCACTCTCAGCGACGTCTGGCTAACCGGCGCTCTGATGCTTAAGTTTGAACGCAACGCTTGTCCAATAAGCACAAAAATGTTTTGTGCCTAAATTAGATGTCCAGTACAACTGCTTACAAAGCCTTTTATTTCCATGACAGCATTGTGGAATAATGACATGTTTTCACTCTGGAGGATTTCAGGATTAGTCACCAACACGTTCAATGAGAAGCCAATGTGACGAGTCCCATTTACATAACAAAGGCATAAAGACAGACGCTTCTGGATCCAAGTGTTGTAGGCAGCGAATGTCATCACGGTACATGAAGTCTTCTGATTAATGAGGCGTCTCTGAGTCACGCTCTCATGACTCAGTGACCTCATTATTTACTCCCCGTTTTACGTGAAAAGAGGATGAGGAAGTCTGACGGTGACGCGAGTCCGGCTGCAGTGTGGCAGAATAGGAAACTGCAGCACGAGTGACATTTGTAGAACAAAGGCTCGGTGGAAGCCGCTGCGATAAGCCTGCATGTAAATTTGATTCACGGTTTTGATGGAACTTTCCAAACAAAGTGCAGTTTTTTGAAACGTTTTTTGCATTGATCGCTATCTGCCATCAGGCGATGGCGTCACGGTCCCGGCTCAGAGGAGGTGTCGGTTTACGGGGACAGCCCTGACCTCCAGCCGTGTGCAGACTGTTTCCTGAACAGTGCCAGAGATCTTCCTAAATGACAACAGATCTGTGCAAACAGTCACAGCCCAGGAGAGCAGGAGAAGGTCTGAGTGGAACCAACAGAAACGACCTCCTGGAATCTAAAGAAAACACATCATGGCGATATACAGGATAGATGTTATCATTAGGACATGTTTGGCAAAACAGAGTTCTTCTGTTTTCCTGCATTTTTCTTCTGTTCAGAGACTAAACTATAGGAAAGAGGTTTCTGATGAAGTCACCATGGTTACACGTGACCTAAGGGGAGGATGTCTGTCAGGTGAAGGCCAGTAGTAGAACAAACACTATGAAAAAAATCTGTTTCTTACTGGTGTCCATCATCCCTACCATGTCCATGTAGCTCAGTCCTGAGCCCGTCCATCACAAACATCACAAATCTATGCATTCTTTATTAAGAAGGCAGTTTAAACAACAGCTTCACCCTTTATAGGGCTCTCATGGAAATACCTGGAAAATGAACATTTCCATCTTTCATTTCAACCTCCATGATGATCACAGCTCCTCAGGAACCATGAGGTCTAGTGCTGGACCTGGCTCATACCCATGCACCCCTAATGTCCATCCATAGTCACTGGGTTCAGAGACCTGCTCTGGAGAAGGATCCAGTCCTGGTCTGCAGGTGGGCTCAGAGGGAATGCTGAGCAGCTGCACCCTCTGATAGAGGGAGAGGCTCTGGTCTGATCAGTCCTGCTGCTTCAGAACATGTTGGACCAAACTTCACCCAGTGTAGTGTCTGGTCCATGATCAATGTTCTGACCAGCCTGCTATTACTTCGACTAATAATAATAATCATCATCATCATCATCATCATCATCATTATTGTCATCATAGTAAAAATATTAAAAAATAATAATAGTAATTTTATTTCTACTTCAAATTTGGTCCAACATGTTCTGAAGCAGCAGGTCTGATCAGACCAGAGGCTCTCCTTCTATCAGAGGGTGCAGCTGCTCAGCATTCCCTCTGAGCCCACCTGCAGACCAGGACTGGATCCTTCTCCAGAGCAGGTCTCTGAAGCCCAGTGACTATGGATGGACATTAGGGGTGCATGGTTATGAGCCAGGTCCAGCACTAGACCCCACGGCTCCTGAGGAGCTACTGAAGTTCACCAGCTGTGATTGTCATGGAGGTTGCAGCGACTGGCAGCTGCCAGAAGAACCGGGTCACCAGCATCTGGGCCTGTGGAGTCTGTACAGGCATCACATGTAGGAACTGCAGTCATGATGTTGTGGAGTCTGAAGAAGACGTAGACGAGGACTCTAGAAGCTTCTGACATGTTGATGAGAAACAGCTCTGAGTGTTGTATGAGGATGTGAAATAAAAGCTGCTGTGGATGTAAATGTGAAGTGGGAGTGGCCTTGTTCAACAGTGGAGTGTTTGTGGTGAAATATAAACGCTGACGATCAGCTCAGAGTCATGAACACACCCTGATCTGACCTCATCAGTTACTCAAGGCCCGATTAAAAAAATAAATAAACAAGTTGTTAATCGTTTAACCTGAGCAGGTTTTTTCAGGGTTTCCCAACGTTTTAAAACATGTTATTAAACCTTTATATATTATTACATATTGGTGAAGAAACTGTTTGGTAACGATTCAGTTGGCAGGTTTGTGGGGGGGGGGACCACAGAGGAAGAGAGTCCAGGTACTGGCCTCGGGCCTGCTGTGGTGGTTGGATCAGGAGGCTCTGGTTGGTCCAACCGGTATCAAAGCGTTTATTAAGTTCCTGGATCATCTGTGTCGGGACATTACGGTGGTGATATTGGCACTAATATAAAAACTAAACCACAGGTCACATGGTTCTTCAGCCTGGAGCAGAGGCTCAGGGCGGACATACTAAAGCTACCAACTATGGTCACTCGCCCCAAAGAGGGTCAACAGGGTGGTCTTCTGTTAGCTTTTGAGAGGTCCTTTTTTTGTTGCTGTTTCTGCCTTTATTAGACAGTGACGGTGGGGAGAGACAGGAAATTTGGGGAAAAGAGAGCAGGGGATGACGGTGAAGGCCTCAGCCAGCCGGAAATCAAACCAGGGTCTGGCTGCTTGAAGGCATTCGCCCCCATGTGGCGCTGGCCCGAACCGCTTGGCCATCGCGTGGCACCGGATGCTGCTGTTGGTGTTTGTGAATGTCTCTGAAACAGGAGTAACGTCATACAGCTTTGGAGGCTGCTTGGTTTTTTTTGTGCCAGACTACGTCCTGACAACAACAAACCAGATACGACGTGTTGATCAGAGAGCTGAAGGTGCTGATAGACGGATTCTGTTCCCTTCGTTTAGAGCCAGACTGCAGTAGTCGGTTCTTCCTGTTTCAAGCAGCTGCTATGGATTCATATTTAACAAACCCATCAGTCCTCTGTCTCACTCAGAGCTGTGGAACAGAGACGTGAGCTTCATCAGGTTTAATACATTTAAACAACACTAAACATGGAGTTTCACAACACATCAGCAGGAACGTTCTCCTGTCGTCCCCACGGCGTCTCGCTTCAGTCGTCATATAACAAATCTGGACAAATAGGACGATGATTTAAAGAAGAGGCGGGATGTGTGTCATCATCTCATGCTGAACCACAATAAACCCGTCCTACATGTCTGGATGTAGCTTCGACCGGCCGTGGTAATACAGCTCTAAAACAACAAGGCGTTCTCAGAGCTTCAGCGGGGAGCTGTGTGATTTTAAAGCCTTCCCATAAAGCGAGCACAAGTTCGATCACGCCTTGCTCAACAGTTTTACGCTGCTCGTATGTTTAGAAATAGAAACCAGAGTCACTGCACAGAGATGATGTGTCATTTACAGAAAAGAGAAGAACAGCAGCTGTGATAAAGTCTGATTCATACTCTGTCCTCATTCCTGTGACTTCTATAAAACTTTTCTTCACCGATGCTGCTCCCTGCGCCTGTTAATACAAATACATCACACCGATATCTTTATCTCCAAATCTTTCTTCTCGTATTCTTTCCTCATTCTCTTCTTTGTGTGGTACGGCTGTGATGGAAGTTGTTTCTTCTTAAAATAGTTCCCTCACATGATCGTAATCTCAAAGAGGATTGGTCGGCTAAAGTATTTATCTTTGTGTGTTTTGTCTCGGCAGGTTATTGCTGAAGATGCAAGCTTCAACTGACTCGCCTGTGACCAACACTACCTCCAACACAACCGCCGTCACCAAGACCAGAGAACAAATACTCATCCAGAGTAAGGACGTCTCCTCCGTTGTGTTAGATATCAGCTAAAGCCAGCGTATCATCAGAGCTCAGGACCGTCCCTCATGGTGGAGACTCACAAACGGCAGCCTGTTGCGTCATGTCATCTAGATGGTTCCAACAGGAGTGGCATACCTAATAGAAAATATTTGCCGTGTGGTGTTTGCTTGCTCGTGACGCCGTTGCTAAGCTACAACACATTACTTCTGAAGGATCCATAAAACTAATTGCAGTGCGAGCAGAGCAACGTGTGAGATGTAAAAGGCAAATTAAAGAAGACACACACACATAAAACTCCAAACCACTGCTCATTCCTCCTCCTCTCTGTGCCTCTCAGGTTCTGGGGCGATGATCGCCGTCATCGTCATCGGCATCATCATCATTCTCGCCATTCTGCTGATCATTCTGAAGACGTACAACAGGTGGGACCACATTCCTGTTTGACAGGACGATTCCTACATGCTGAATGGAGCGAGCTGTGAAACAATTAGGCTATTTTTATCCGCTTGCTGCTGCTTTTCATCTCAGGCTGAGACACTACAGACACATAAGAGCAGTCGTCTGTATCATCTGAACTCTACCTATGAAGGGATTCCTGAACATGTTGGCGTGTGACAGCCCCCCATGTACACGACCACGGAGGGACAGTCCCTTCTCAGGTTGTTTAGTCTGACACTGTTTTAGACGGCTGAAGAGATTCCCCGGTATCTGTAATAAAACTAAATGTTAACTCAGAGGTCAGTTCAGCAGGTCACAGAAACTCTCTGGGGGTCCAGACGTTGACTCACCTGTGATGTTGTGTTTTCTCAACAGAAAGGGTCAAATAAAGTCTTGTTTCAAATCTGCAACAGAAAGTAATTTATAGGTATTTTAGTCGTGGTAGATATTTTATTTTATGACTCTATGACACCTGTTAAAATGATACAGTTTTAGAATAAAAAACTAAGATTTTATTCTCGTATTTATGTCGGATGTGTTCGGTGTTTTGTTTGATAGTTTTATTTGCTGATAAAGTAGCACGTAAACATTTTTGATGAGACATATCTGTTCTGTTCTAGCAATCAGATGAATTTGCAACCAATTTAAACAGAAATGTGATTGTGTTAAACACTGTGGCTTCCTTTTGTCCAGGCGGACACATGCGTCCAGAGTCCTGGGAGCCAGGGGGGGCTCCAAACCTCGTCCTAAGATGTCTCAGTCCACCGTCCACAGCAACATGCCGCTGACCCCCGTGGGAGTCAGCTCAGTGTCTGGCAGCATGACCAACTCCAACCCGGCCTCAGAGAACGGCTTCCAGCTGCCCAGAGCGGAGCTCAGCAGTGTGGAGGGGAACCACATAGAGCAGTTCAGCACCACCAGCGGCTCCACCGTGGTCACCATACACGACAGCCACACGTCGTTAGGGAACACATAGCACCAGGACTGGGTCGGTCTCCAAACCAGCATTGACTGATGTGTTGTCCTGACCACATACTGTGCTGACTGAATCCTGTGGAAAATCAATGCATGACGTTCGTGTTGTCGCCGTCAATCTCCACCAACTGAGCCACTGCCTGTGACGACACGAATACCCAGACGTCCCTCTGCTGTACGAAGACAGAACAAAGACACTCACAGTGGATATCATGAAGGATGTGATCGCAAAAACTGAATGTTCCTGCTGAAGAATCGCTTTTTGGCTAAAGTCAGTGTTCAGAGAATGAATGTCACAGCTGTTTGTTTTGCTGACTGATGTCGCGTCACTACTAACATCATGAAGAAATGTGTAGTAAAGACTGTAACTGTGTACATTTCTGTAGTTAAGAAAACCGTGTAGGTTTGTAGGTAAACGTAGGATAAAACTTAGAGAAGAGAAAGATGATATGAAAAGGATAAATCAGTTTATAACGGATTCCAATGTGACTGAGAAAATATGTTTATATTGCAGATGTACTTGGACCAGTTCTATTCCTGACTTAATCTGGTTTATGTTGAATCATCCTCTTTGTTTTCGCTTAGATTAGCTTGTAAACATCTACAAAATCTTTTTTTAACCACATGATGAAGATATTTTGTGATCCTGTCAGCCCGACTCGCTGATGTGAACCTTTTTAATTTGACACCAAAGTATTTTGCACTTTATTCCTGTTGCTCTCTGTGTTGTTTGTGGCTCTTTATTAAATTAAAAACAATATTTCTAATTGTGGATCACGTGTGTGGTAAAAACTAAGTCATTTGCACAGAAGACCCGATGCTGTGATCCCGGGGGAAGCTTTAGTGAGTTACTGCGCCCTCTGCTGGCCACTTCCCGTCACACAAGGCTGAGAGACCTCAAAGCTGCATTCAAGACGACAACAGTTGGTTGCAAATTGTTGCACTTTATGAATATAACCGTTGGAATAAAATAGTCCGGTGCCTGCATTCCTTTATTTTTTCATTTTGTTCCTGGGATGATTTTAAATAACAGCTATATTTGATAAATGCGGTAGTTTAAACAGTGTTGACTCAGAACAACACATCAGTCTTGAACGCGACTTCAGTGACAGCGCTACTGTTTGTATTACGATGGTGACCGTAGGTGAGTGGCTATCAGGCTAATTTATCCTTAAAACGATGCTATTTACTAAGAGTTTAAAGATGCTGATATATTTTGAGTTTTTAATGTGCATTCCATTTATATTCCTGCATATTCGCTTCCTCATTAGCGCTCAAAACACAAAACTAAGCCGCCAGCAGCTAGCATACATGCTAAGGAAGTGAGCTAGCAGGTCAGGCGCTAACCGCATCGTTCTGCTGCGGTTCGAGTCTTTATCGGACTGTGGTGTGTTTACTGTCAGACATCTGAGTTTATCTGTTAAAGTACAACTTAAAGAGTGTCGGCTGTGTTGCAGTGGAGCTGCTGAGCCTCCTGCTGGTGTCGGTTCTGTGGGGCTGCACCAACCCATTCCTGAAGAGAGGCACGGAGGGATTAGAGGAGGTGACCAGAACCAGCAGAGTGTCCCAGCTGCTGGCTGAGGTCAAGTTTCTGTTTCTGAACTTCAAGGTCAGTTCTAAACAGTAGGACCAGATACGATGGCAGCCACTGGTTGACTGCAGAGAGCTTCTCTAGTCCACAGACTCTGACAACCACGAAGAAGAAGAAGAAAAATTAACATTTAAAGCCATAAGCTTTATTTGTAAAGTACCACTTGGATGGAATAAACCTTTAAAAGTGTATTTACTTGAACAAAGAGTAATATTTTGAGCGGAACAAACCTTTAGATCTGTAAGTGCGTCACAGAAATAATATTTTCAGTGGGATAAACCTCTGAACATGTACATGCTCACACAGAAAGTTCTATTCTGGGCAGGATAAACCTTTAAAACCACAACATGTTCATTAGAAAGCACTACTGGGGTGAAATAAACCTTTAAAACTATAAATACTTGTACAGAAAGTAGTATTTTGGAGAGAATAATCCTTAAAATCTGTGTGTATGAGTACAAAAAGTGATATTTTAGGTTAAAAAAAACAAAAACAAAAACACCTTGTTGGTCAGAGAGTACTATTTGGTTGATACAACCCTTTACAACTACAAGTACTTTTACAGAAAGTAGTATTTTGGGTGGAATAAACCTTTAAATCCGTGTGTTAAGTGCTTTAATAATCATCCCATTCAGCATGCAGCAGTAAACAAGGGTCTGAGGAGCGTAGCGCTGAAGCTGTGGTCCTGAAATCATTATAAATCTGTTCAAAGTAACACGTGTCCTATAATTGGCCTAATTGCACTTTCTCTGTTGTGTTGCTGTCCAGTACCTGGTCCCCTTCCTTCTGAACCAGAGCGGCTCGTTGGTCTACTACTACACACTGTCCACTGCAGGTGAGACGCACTTCATAATGAACATGTAGCCTCTGGTTCACTGGAGGATGCAGTGAAGGACGGGCTCTGCTGCAGCACAAGACCTTTTCACAGCTCATATTTTACCTGTCGTGGCATGAAGAGCCCAGGTGTAGTTAACGATGGCTCAGCAGGAGGTGCACGTACAGCGCCAGTGGCCTGGATGGTAATTAAACCTGTGCTAGAAGGTCTTCTTCTCAGATGTTTGCTCTCCGGAGCTGCAGCAGTGGATCCGTTAGTCGTCTAATTAATGGTTAGAGTTGTCTTAGATTAGATAGAATTAGAACTTTATTGATCCCTTTGGTCGGGCACATCAGGGAAATTGTTGAAATTTTGAGTTAATCTGTAGATTATGAATGTTTTGATATTTCAAACCTTAGAAAATAGTTTTAAAAAATGCCAATCAGGATTCCTTCCAGCACAGGCTGACCTTCTGAAATGGCCTTTATAGTCCAACAACCAGCCTTAAACCCAACATATAACATTTTCTATAATGTCAGACTGGAAATAACAGCAGACTGTCGTATATGTGGCTCTAGAACAAGAGCAGGTTTGCTTGAGATATAACCGAGGTGATGAATTGATTATTCAAGTTTAGGATTCTGGAGAAAGATTAGAAATATTTATCTAGTTAGTGTATTTGGGTAGTTGTCAGACTTATCGTCCCTCTTTCTCCCACATTGCTCTTCCCTGTGAGTGGACATGAACATTAATGAGCGCTAATGTGGACGTGCAGGAGGTATGTTGTGTGGTTCTGTCCAAGCCACTCTGTTCCCCGTTCACAGAACCAGGTGATGTGTACGGACACCAGATGTGTGTTCAGTGGACCAACAGAATGGACAGTTATCAGGTAGTGAGAAGGTTTCCAAAAAAAATCAACAAAAGTGTTCAGATACGACTCAGACTCTGATTCTATGAGTCCAGCTCTAAACGGACCTTCAACGAGACGATCCAGCTCGAGCCTTTCCAGTGTTAAATCAATGACCTGCATGTTCTGTGGCTGTAACCTTTCTTCATGGGATTTAACTTAATTTGACCAACTTTGTGGTCCAGAGCTGTCCCTTGCTGTTCCTGTGGCCAACTCTCTGACCTTCCTCTGCACTCTGCTGACCGGGAGGCTCCTGGGTGAAGACTTTGGAGGCAAACGTGAGTCGCTCACATCGGAAACAACCACACGTTACACATCCAGTAATAAGGATGGATTCAGACAGTGAGATGCTAAAAGAAAACTTTAATTATTTTATTAGATTTTTATAAATTAGCCCCGTTTCATGAGCAGGTTATTTTTGCTTGGTGGTCGTTCACTGCAGACGCAGAGCGTTTAATTCCCTGCAGTGCCTCCTCTCCTCTCCTTGAGCGATACTGTCCTGGTTGTTCTCTTTTAAGATGTGCTTTTTTTAACTTGCCTTTTCTTCTGTATCCTCCCCCACACACCTCGCTCTCTGCAGAGGCTGTCGTGGGAATGTTCCTCACCATGGCTGGCATCACTCTGTGCGTAATCAGCTCCGTTGAAGACAAAGACGCGACCGAGCCGGCGCGCTGACGGAGATCGGGATTAGCTTCTGCTTTACCTTCCAGTAATTCCTTAGCGAGGAAAGAAAGAAGGCCGAAGCAGGGTTGAGGCTTGAGGGGCTACTTTAGATTCAGGCTGCAGCTCTTTGGTTGTTGTGGGAGAATCGGGCCTAAATGAACTGAGCTTGACCTTGAAAGGACCCGTCCAGAAACTCCTCCACCAAGTTGAAGGGGAAGCGGGTTCACGTAGGGTTCACCCCGGAGCTGGACCAGATTTATGGCGCTCCCAAAGAAGTCGGCGGCTGTTAATTTTCAAAGCGCTGTGCTGGGCCGCCTCCTGGACCGATGCTATAGAGACCACATACAAACGAGGCAGGGCTCTGAAACGGACCAATTAGATGTGACCCGATGGTTTAACGGGGACGCTTTACGAGAGCCGCCTTCTGTCCGGATGTGTGTGGGTAAGAGCTGGGCAGTAAAGCTGTTTTTATTTAATTATTTTTCCTCCTCCGTCCTCCTCACTGCTGCCCTGGATGCACCACATTCGGCTGCATTTCACCTTCTGAAGTTCTGAGTGAAGACAATGAAGGACCAAGCCTGTTGTCCATGTGGACAGACATCAGGACCACACTGTACATAGTAATATATATGTTTTATTGTCACAGTACTTCATAGATACAAGACACTGTACTGATGACTGTCGTATCTGTTCCTGTGTCGTCACTAATGTTTATTAATAAAATGTTGGCAACTCTTCACTTGTTATGTGTTCATCACATTTTTATGCAAATCAAACACCTACAGCCTATCACATGCTTTCCTTATGTACATACAGAACAAAGGACTAACACGCAGCATCCACCACGTACAGAGTCACCAGCATCATCCCTGTAAAACACAGCAGCCAGCGGTACCATGCAGGAGGAGCCCGGTTGGTTCACATGTTTGACTTTTACATGGTTCTACAGGAAAACAACATGAGTTCATTTTGTTGCTCGGCTCATTAAAGCGCTATGGATTTAATCAAACATTCATTTAGTCGTGTCGTACGGCCGGTCATCAGAGGGTCTGTCAGGGTGCCGTGACGGTTTCCTCTGCTGTAGCTGAGGGCGGGTCCGGTGGGTTCTCCTGGGACAGAAACACATTCAACAAGAAGGTGGCTTCACTGGTTCTGGTGAAGCCAATAAAACACCAGCAGGTCTTTTATAACGTGTGGCGGTCAAACCCACTCACCTTCTCATCACAGGTTCTTCCCTGAGAGGTGGACGACGAAGGCCTGGACGCTGACGTCTGTTTGGACTCCTTCTGAAACGAGACACGAGCTCCAGGACTCGGTATCAACACATTGATGTATTTATCAGCAGCCCGTGTGTGTGTGGGTGTTTCACCTGTGTTTCAGCGCTGGACTCTTGTTCAGATGGCAGCGCCTTCCACAGAACAACAGATAAATAAATGTGAACCCAGTGATCGGCAGCTCGCACAGAGACACGTGTGCTGATGATCTCAGTGTAACGCCCACTCACACATACTGTACCTGCTGCTCGTCGGCCTCGTGTGGGTGTTCTGTGTCACCGTGATGCTCGCTCTTTATCATTTGTGCATGTCTCTTGGGGGAAACAGATGGAGGTTAATGCATATTAGAAAAAACGCGACACTGGCGGACTGAGAGAATAAATAATTACATGCACGCCAAAGAACTCTTTGGTGTTTGTGTTGCTGAATGTGTTTAGCTTTGGTTTGCTGGATCTTTACGCTTCTTCCAAATGAAAACACGTCTTTTATTCACATTCTCTGTTCCATAATGTGGGAGGACGTCCAGCATAAAGAAAGGCCAACCTGCTGTGTGCCGTGCAGAGGATCATCTGTGCCGTTCAGCTCCTCATCTTCCACTATTTCTGCAGCTCTCTGCAGATAGAAAGCGAGAATCTGATTTCGGTGTGTCCGTAGTTATCGTCTGTATTTATTAGAGCTGACAAACACAACACCCTCAGGTAGAACATTCGATCATCACGTCACACTTCGGGACTGAAGCCAACCTGATCAACAGGAAGCTCCGTGGCCGTGTTCTCGTCCTCCTGCACCTCCTCGGCTCCTCGCACTTCCTCTCTCCTTTTGCGAGCTGCTCTTTTAAAGACGCTGGGCTGAACTGCAAATGGTGGAGATTCTGTGTCAGTTCAGGCAAAGATGAACGACGCTCATCTGAGACGTGAAGATGTTTCTTTTTTTATTCTGCTTTGGCTCCTAACCAGATCCGTTGCTGAGAGGTGGTCTCGTTTGCATCCTGTTCTTGCGGATCTTGACGGGCCTGGCGAAGAAGACCGAGGCCTCGTCGGCTCCCTCCCTCCGGCTCCTCTGCTGCGAGGCTTGAGGAGCTGCAGCTTCATCTCCTGTCGACTTCACTCTCCGACCATCTGACTGAAATTCACACGTTACAACTGAATAAATACTGAGTTTACACTGGAGGTTGTTAGACGGAAACATGCCGTCTGCGCTGTAATGTGTTGAGACAAACAAACAAACCGTCCCGATATAGCATCATGTCGTGTGAACAGCAGACAGTGGAGGGCTGTGGGTTTACCTCTGGGGAGTCGAGCAGAGCTGAGTCACTGTACTGGTCTTCTGGACCGCTGCCTGCTTTCCTGTTCTGAGAGAAGAACAACACTTGGGTTACTGGTCTTCAGACGGCTGTCATTCAGAGCGGCCATGCTGCATGATGAACTCCAGACTGAGGCTGTTCTCAGACATGATGATGGTGTGAGGAAGTGACGGGAGGTTTACCTCAGCTCTCCTCAGCAGCCTCCTCTTTCCAGGGTAGTATCTTTAAAAGAAAAGCGTGATGTTCACAGCTGTCTGACAGCCATTGTTCCGTGTCAGAGCACACAAACAGAAGACCTTGCATAACAATACCTCTCTGCTGCTTTTGAAACCAACAGCTCCACATATGGAAGTTTCTTGAACCTCTCGGTTCCCACGGCAACGTAGCAGTGGCCGGTCTCCAGCTCCCCAGCTGAGGACACAGTCACTCCTTCCAACGAGCACAGCCTAAAAAAAGAAAGCACAGAGGGGTCAGAGAGGTGTTCACTGGGTCTAGCTCCCTCTGTGTGAGTTCCTGGGTGACGGCGGCACCGACCTGCGCACCGCTCCGGTCCGTAAGCTGACCTTCTCCGTGATCAGACTCAGGATCTGCTCCAGGTCCTGCTGCAAGCTCCGAGGGATGATGAAGCGGAACGGTGGACACAGGAGATCTCCGTTACGGAAGACACTGAGCAGACACAGTAGAGGAGACGTGTACGTTTAAAAGGCTGCCGTAACTCCTGTGAAGTAGGAGCTAGTCATGATGAGGTCTAGTCCTGAGCCAGAGCTACAGTCTTTTCAATACACATTTTGCTCTTTTTGTTTCCCTGGCTGTTGATCCTGTGCTGTGGGATGGTGGCAGAATAATATATCCACAGGTCCAGAATAGTGCTGCAGGAATCTGGACATTAGTGACAAACCAATCAGCGGTTGTTGTTTCTGTGACGTTCCCCTTTGGTGTCAGCGTTCTGAAGGAACATTCAGGGAACTAAAGTCAGCAGGTCTGATCCTCTGGGGATCAGTGAAATCTGAGCAAACTTTCCTCTTGATAGTAGTTTTCAAAATATGTCACTAAAAACCAAAGTTGTTGGTCTGCCATCGTGGTTTTACTCAGTCTGACTGCTGAAGCCTGATTGGTTGAATTTTGCAGACACCTCATGACGGAACATTTGTGTTTCAGAACATCTCTTACAGAACTTCATCTCAGACAATGCCAATGAATGACTGATGTGCAGCTTGTCCGACTCACTGTATGATGCAGGGGACGGGTATGAACTTCCTCCATTTGGCTGAAACGTTGGGCCTCTGCGTGACTTTGGCCTGGAGGAGACAATCAGATGCACGGTGCTGCAGAACATCACAATGTTGGCATTTGTTTTAATCAATATTGAAAATTCCCTCATCAGGTTTTACGTCATCCCTCCCTCGCCCCAGATGTGTAATGACTCACTAACTATTCTGCTCGTGTCAGCTCCAGTGCTGCAGCCATGGAAACAGACATCACTCCAAGACATTCGCACGCTGTTTCTGATCTGATCTAAAGCTCCACGACGGCCCTTATCAGTGAAATCTGGAGCCCACATACGCGCTGCTTCTCATAATGCAGCCGGACAAAGTCAGTCCATTCAGAGCAAAGCAGACATCGACAATCTTCCCTCATTGTTTTTCCTTCTTTCTTTGAATTGGCAGACATTTAATTCATTTAGAGCAGAGAGGGAGGCGTCGGGCTCACAGCGTGGACGTCAGGCCTGCCCGGACATGCACACGGCTCTGATCACTCTTTGTTTCAGCAGCACCATCAAACACACATGCGGACACACTTCCTGCATTTCTCCACAGCAACCACAACACAGGCATGTAAGACTTTAAAACCCAAAGACTGGCTAAAAAAAACCTGCTTTCCAAATGGCAGGCGCCCAAAGCACACACCATCACTCTGCACTCCTGTATGTTTTTCAGTAACACTGATGGCTTCAGACTACGAACACACTCTGAAAACAGAAACCCAGGCGCTCACTCCTGCCAGCTGGTCAGAACACACAGCCGGTACCTGTCAGCGTGAGCGACCCGGTGTGCCCACTAGCGTGTGTCCCTTTGAAATCGGTTTAGCGTGGACGCTACGGGAGTGTCTTGGTGCGTAGCCTCGTCGCCATGCGCTGCCTGCATCACATCGAACAGTTCAGAGGTGACTCAGAACTACTTGCTTATGAAAACTACTCAGACGTCACACACACTCTGGGGTTTTCTGACAGCATCCAGCTGTAGTTCATTAATCACATGAGAGCCTTGAAAGGCCCCCCTGCAAGTTCTAGGTGATCATTTGACAGACAGCACAATCATTAGCCCGTTATTTCCGGTAATTTACACGGCGACCGGTGACATCAGCAGGACGGCCGGAGCGCGACCTTTGTGCACGCACCACTAACGCTAGCATAACAGTGTGTCATCACGTTTGTAGGCAAACATGAGCTGGTCTCGGTAATGGAAAATCCTGCACGTATTTTCATATTTAACTTGGCAGGAGCTCAAACGGATCAGCCCTGGTTTTGCATTCCTCCTGGTCGGGCTGGGATTAATGAGTGATGGAGTGAGCTGCTGGCCTTAGAAGGTCAGGCCTCATGGGAAAAATACAAGCTTACCTGGGTGTCTTCACGAGCCGCGGGCTGCTTTTTAGCTCCAGTGTTCAGGTAACTGCACATGAAGACAACAGGTAGAGCTGGTTTCTTTTCCCAGAAGCACAATATTTGAGATTCATTTGCACTTTTGTACTCACTCCAGTTTCTTGAACCTCTCGAAGCCAGCAGCAACGTACTGGGCTCCTGTTCGAAGATCGTGGAGGTCAGTGACCCTGTGGCCCTGCCGGGGGGTGTACAGGGTCCGGACGGCGAGAGGGGCGCCGATGCTCTGGGTCACTTCGTTCAGAAAGGCCTCCATGGTGGCCACCTGCCGCTGGTTGACCACGAACCTCCGGCCGGTGTAGAAGGGGTCTCCATTCCTGTACACCACCACGCTCTTCACCGGAGGCAGCAGACATGTAGCCGCAGTGCTGGCAGCCATCTCTGAGCCAGCTGTTACTGTCCACACACACACACACACACACACACACACACACACACACACACGTAGAAAGTGTTGAGTGCACACACACACACCCGCCACACAAATCCCTCCACACACACAAACACACACACACACACATACAGTGTCGCTTTAAGTTGCAATCTCACATTTTCCACATCACCCTCTCCGGGTCACCCTCGTTCAGCGACCACACATCAACACAAGATGATTTCTGATCCACTGAAACACGTCGAGCCCAGACGCAGTCACTCACCAGCCCGGCGGAGGACGAAGCAGGAAAACTGCAGGAACAGGTACAAAAATCAGTCCCTTCTGTTGTTGTGGTCTGTCTGGACTCCCACTCACCACGTTCTACTCCTCTCTCGTCCCTCTCGCACACATACACTCACAAGGACACTACTCCACTGACGGTGGTGAGTATTTCCTGGTTGCCATGGCAGCGTGGCCAGCAATGACTGGCTTTGTGGGCCAAACCATCGGCAGCAACCACAACAAAAGGGACAGACAGAGGAGGGGAGAATGGGTGGGTCAGAAGCTGAATCAATAAGATAACCTCTACTCCCACTTGTCTGCATTTTCCTAAAAAATATAAATAAAAAAAGCTAAATCATGCATATTAGTGAGACCTGGTGCAAAAACCAGGCGTACTAGAGCAGAAACACACTAAATATAATTTCAAGGACAGAATACTATTATTTTCGCTGTTTGTTTAAACTCTAAATGTTTTTTTTTAGGGAACTTGTGACCAGAAGACAACAGCAGAGTACCAGGAGTAGCAGGTCAGCTGGAGATCTGTAGGATGAGCTTCTCATGTGAGGAGTGACGACGGCTCATTCATTCTGGTCCAAGTGAGAAATTTGAGCTTCTGAGACACAGCACAAACTAGTTTCAAGCCAAAGAGCCTCCCCTGACTTCTACTGAACGAACCTCTTCCCTGCACAATAGCTAACCGCCTGCAGCTCACACAATCGAAGCCGCGAGGACGATATCAGTGAGAGCAGCAGCAGACAACCACACGAGGAAAACGTCGTAGAAAAATAAATTGGATTTATTGTTCACAAAAACACACACAGTGTACAGGTTTATTAACTTCAGATATTCTACCAAACACACCATAAATACTTCTTAAGCATGTAATGTCCCGTGTACTTGTATGTACTCGTATCTTAATCACACATCATCTGATCCACATTATGAAGTCCGGTTCATATTATTCATGGCATCAGGAAACACTCAGGCTGTCCTTCAGTGACAAGTACTGCAGAAGAGAAGAAAGACAAGAGAAACACTGATGAGAAGTACAGTTTACTGTAGCAAAGCTATCGGTTAGCACATCATCACTGCACGACAACACAGCGATACAAACCTTTATTTCCTACTTTTTGCACTGGGTGTTTTCAGTTATTCTTGCACTGACTGAACACTTTTTTTGGAGCTGTTGTAACAGTGAACTTTCCCCACTGTGGGTTCAATAAAGTTATCTTTATCTTTATGTAGTTAAAGAACTGGTAAAGAAGTTACATATGCACAGACATTCTAGTATAATCAGCCTGATTGTGCTGCAACGATGTGAGATTCACGAGTACAAATCAGCACCAGTGTGAGGGCAGAGGATGCTAAACATGCTGTCTTCTGGTTTACACGCCTGATACAGAGGCTGAAGGAGAAAACCATCTGGTCTACATGCTTCCACGTATAAGCCGGCTGTTTTCTAGTCTTCAGGACATGATGGGCTGTCATCAGTGAGGAGCTGCTCATACATACGATGAGTCATTTAGATAACGAAGCTCACAAGTCGGCTTTTCTTCAACAAGCTCTTGAAACTACTGGACCAACTGATGAACTTTTACATTTTGTCTTTCAGCAGAAGCTATTCTATTACAGCTCTGAGCACATGTGGTGAACGACGCCACCTCCTCCGTCTCCATCGTACCTTCTTTCTGCTGTCGATGGCTTGCTGCAGCCAGAGCAGCTCCATGGTCAGGGTGTTTCTATGGAGACGCAGAGCCTGTGGGCTTCGGGGCACCTCCTGAGCCAAGCGGTGCTGCTGAGGACCTGAGGGAGGGATGGCAAAGTCAGAAGGACTCATGAGGCCTTCCTCTCTCCAGCTTCAGGTCCAGACGTTTCACAAAAAAAGCCACATTTTTTTGTTCTTCTTATTTTTATTTTAAAAACCTTCAACTTCAGCCACACATGTGGGGTTTCTAGCTCCTCCAGTGGAAGCATTTGTTGTGTTTTAGTGTCATAATTAAAAATAAATCAAATAATTAAATTACAATCAATCTGAACAGCTGAACGAGAGGGTCAGTCTCATGTATTTCATAGGCTTAAGTGAATAGAACTGTAATGTTGGCTTCAATATGCAACTTACAGCTCTATTAACGTCACATGATAGAAGGAGTCACTTAAACTCAAAGGTTTCTCATTTGGTTCCTCGGGGATGCCTCCATGTCCTCTGCAGCCCTTACCGTTGTCAGAGTGACCGCAGCACGTGTCCAGCTCCACGCTGCTCCATATGGTGGAGGACTCCCCGGTGCTCTCCATCACCCCTCCATCTCTATTCCCCGCTGAGCTCCGTCCCTGCTGCCGCTCTCCATCCCCTCCAAAAGGGCTGCCGGGTAAGTCATCTCTCTCTGCTTCTGTCTTTCCTGGCAGGACACGGCGATCCCTCTCCTGTGATGAAGGTGCTGCTGGGCGCTCAGGCCTGGCACCGACATCTAGTCCTGGGTCTGAAGGCTTCCCAGCAGAGCTGCCGGGTTGTAGACACGAGCCGCCCTGATGAAGCACAGAGCAAACACATGAGAAACGTATGACGGAGATATGAAACCACACGCTTACGGCTGTGGTGCTACTTACAGCGTCTGTGAAGTGGGGAACGGAGATGACCGTCTCTGTCCACCTTAAATGGGTCAAACCTCCATCAATCTCTTTCACGATCTCTTCAAAGTCTTCTCGTGCCCTGCGTAGCTCGCTTCTCACCAAGTATCCACGTGCACGGGCCTGGAGATGGGAGGAGAGTAACTATAGCAACAAGGCGTCATGGTGTCTGCAGCCGAGGAGGGTTTCAGCAGCTTCAGCACCTGGTTCTAGGACAGCATCTCTAGAACAGCTGGTTCCCATTGAGTCCACCTGCCAAACTGGACAACCACTGAAGTGCACGACTTTTGGTTTTAAAGGTCAATTCCACCAAAAATACAACTTCCTGTCTGAGTACTTACAGCTTTTTTTCCTTAAAAGTGATTTTTTGGCCTTTTTGCTGTTATTGTGTAGAACAGTGAAGAGAGAGAGAGACAGGACAGTGGGGGAGGAGAACAGGGACGGACCTGCAGCAAAGGGCCATGAGCGGGATTCAAACCCACGACCTACAGCCCCTGTACCGGGTCAGCAGCTCAACCAGGTGAGCCATAGGGGCGGCCCAGTACTGACAGTTTTAAAGGTTTATGTCACTCAAACAGTAGTTTCTAAAACTGGATTATGGTTTTAAAAGTTTACTCCCCCCAGAATACTACTTTCTGTACAAGTACTTCTAGTTTTAAAGGTTTAGTCACTCAGACAATGTTTTCACAAACCAGTTACAGTTTTAAAGGTTTATTCCACTCAAAACACCACTTTCTGTCCGAGCACTAATAGCTTTAAAGGTTCATTCCATTCAAATCATTTTTTAAAAGTTTATTCTGCTCAAAATACTACTTTCTATGTAAGTATTTTAAAGGTTTATATCACCAAAATAATACCGTCTAACAAACTAGTTATGAGTTTAAATGATTGGTTTAAGTCTTTGTGTCCACACACTAATAGTTTAAAGGTTAATTCCACCCAAATAGTACTTTATAGCAGGTTATGGCTTTAAAGGTTTATTCCACTCAAATATTTATCATTTATTCATTTTTGTCAGTGTCTGTGGAGTCAGCAGGTGGTCTCCATATTAAACCTAACTAATGTACAGGGTGATGGAGCTTCTACACCTGCTGTCCTGAACACATGCTGCTCGCTTCGTGTTTGTTTACGTCAATGCTAACGTTAGCCGATGCTAGCTGCTACGGTCAGCGGCGGCCCGGCGGCCCAAAAGAACCAGAACAACTTCCTGTAAGTGGAAAGAAAAGACCAGACGTTACGGATTTAAATCACTAGACACGGCTGTTACCTGGAAAGGTGTGATCACCGTCTCCCACCTGCTCCTGTCCATTGCTATGGAAACATGACTGAAAGCGGGAGACGAACTGAAACTTTTGATTTACTTCCGGGGTGAACCTCTAAAGTTAAAAGCACGTTTATGTGAAACATAACAGTAGGAGCATTGTGTTTATTGGTAACGTTGATATATCGCCTTAAATCTCAAAAGTTTGGATCATGTGTGAAGAATCCAAACAGCACACAGCAGAACTAAACCGTTTCCATGGATGCGGTGTTTTATTTTGGAAAGCGCCGGCGGAAGTGACCCTGTGTTTGTTTGCAATGCTGCTGCTCGTCACAAGCCACTTTCTGCTCCAAGTTAATGAAGCTGTTGGACTCGGCTGGTGAACATGAGCGGCGGCTCCAGTCAGAGGACCTTGTTCCAGACCTGGGGTTCGTCCGTCTCCCAAAACAGAACCGCCCAACCGGCCAAAGAGGCCAAACGAGCCGGTGAACGGCGCAGAACCACCGCAGGCAGCTCTGCTCAGGGAGCTGCCACACGTCCTCGGAACCCTCTGTGGACTGAGTTTGGTCAGGGGTCCACACGTGCTTCAGCAGGAAGCCCAGGGAGGACAGAGGAGCCTGAAGATGAGGATGATGACCTCATGGTGGTGGCTGTCTATGAGGCTGAAAGGAGCCTCCAGCTGCATAACTTTGTCCAGGATGACAACCCAGCAGGAGCAGAAAGCATCGCCCTCTCTCCTGTGCCTTCAGGTGGGCACACATACCCAGACCTCCCAGGCTTCGACAGCTCCTCGGCTAAGGTGTGGATCTACCCCACCAACTACCCCATCAGGGAGTACCAGCTGAAGATCTCAGAGGCCGCCCTGTTCCAGAACACACTGGTGTGCCTTCCCACTGGTCTGGGGAAAACCTTCATCGCCTCTGTGGTGATGTACAACTTCTACCGCTGGTATCCATCTGGGAAGATCGTGTTCATGGCTCCCACCAAGCCCCTGGTGGCCCAGCAGATCGAGGCCTGTTTTAAGGTGATGGGGATCCCTCAGGCGCACATGGCGGAGCTGACAGGTAACTAAACCTCGGCACACCTGCACCATCGTCCTCCTCCCTCCAGCCGGCACTAACACAAGCGTGTCTACTGGTTTTCAGGCAGCACGGCAGCGAAGCAGAGACAAGAGCTGTGGAGGTCCAAGCGCGTCTTCTTCCTCACCCCTCAGGTGATGGCCAACGATCTGTCCAGAGACACGTGCCCGGCCCAGCAGGTCAAGTGTGTGGTGATCGATGAGGCCCACAAGGCGCTGGGCAACCATGCTTACTGTCAGGTGAACTGAGCTCACGCTGATCGTCACAGCACGACATTTAGGACACACCTTTGTCTTTAAATCACTCAGTTCACTGAATCCCACTCACTCACTCACTCACTCACTCACTCACTCACTCACTCACTCTCACTAGTTTTTACAGTGAAGTGAGTTGTGATGTACATTTTAACACCACACCAAGATGAAGGACTTTAACTTGTGCTGAGTTTCTATTTTCTGTCAGGCGGTTGCATCCTGACACTCAGACTATTCAGACCAGGGATCTCCAGCTCTGGTCCTCCTGAGCTCCTGTCCTGCAGGTTTTAGACGTTTCTGCAACACACCTGAGTCACACTAATGGATCATAACAGACTTGTGTAGAACTTGACATCAAGCTGTTGGAGATCCATGAATGTGAGTCAGGTGTGTTGGAAACGTCTAAAACCTGTAGGACAGTAGCTCAGGAGGACCAGAGCTGGAGATCCCTGATGCAGACTGTCCCAACATGTCCTGTACCTGGTCTTCTCCTTCTCACTCAGGTGATCAGACAGCTCGGCAGCCAAACTCTGCAGTTCCGTGTCCTGGCTCTTAGCGCCACTCCAGGTGGAGACACAAAGGTGAGTGTGTGTGTCACTATATATCTGTATATATAAGAAGTGAGTCGTCCTCGTGACTGTTCTGAAATCTTTCCCTTCATCTCTGCAGTCGGTGCAGGCAGTGATCTCCAATCTGCTCATCTCCCACATCGAGCTGCGCTCAGAGGAGAGTCCGGACATCCGGGCTCATTCCCACCAGCGCAGCGTGGAGAAGGTGGTGGTTCCTCTGGGCGAGGCCCTCTCAGGACACCAGGCCTGTTACCTGCAGGTAGGCACATCCCCCAGCTTTACAGGTTTACAATAAATGTCTGATGTGAGAGAATGTGGACAAAATGCCACCTTCAAGGCCCTTCAGACATTATAGGGGGACTGACATGGGTTGTGCTGGCTGTGTTGGAAACACCCCAGAGATGGTCGAGGTGTCCACACTGATGCTGTGTTCTGATGTCCTGCTCGATGCCTGTAGTGCTGTTTGTACCTGGCGGTGCTGCACTATCTGTCCAGTGACATCCAGCTCTCTAATGTGGCTCCTTCTCCTCTCATTTTTATTCTAAACTGCTGAAAGCTGTAGCTAACCTTGGTCATTTACAGACCTTGGCAGGATGTCAGCATTTTGGAAAGTGGAGGTAAGGAGCAGACGTCTCACCCTGGAGGTCCTGACATGGAGGTCATCGTGGTAGAACTTGGTTTCTATGATAAAACACAACCAACCACCGTAGTGTTCATGCAGATCGTTCATATTTGACCAGTTGTTATTGTTCATGACATTTTATAATTAATGTTGGAGCACATTCAGACTCAGAACGTTGGTTTCTGACATGTTTTGGTGTTGTCTCGTTGTGTTTGATACGATCAGGAGGTTAAAGGAGTCATTCTGAGGTGCTTTGCTGCCACCTTGTGGCCACTGCGGGCTCACTTCTGTTTCTCCTGGGCTGTAATCCTCCTCTCAGCATCACGTCCTTCTCCTCACTGTGTGGCTCTTTCTGGGTCAGTTGAAATCAGATGGATTGATCCGTCTTGAGAGCAACATCCTGCTCCGCCCGGTGGTCTAGCTGTTAGTGCTGGTACACTGACTTGTTCTGGATTATGAACGGATCCGACCTGCTCTCTGCCTGTCACGGCTCTGCTCAGGCTGGACTGTAAATACACAGCCACACCTGATTCGTCTGCCGGCCGGACAGCTGGAATGTGACGCCTCCATCTGAAAGTCTGAATCCTCCTGGGCCGTCTTCATGTCATTCTCTATGCTAATAGGCAGGGTTCTTCGTAGCTTCTCCACCCTCTCCTCATCCTACCCTCTGACCGGAGGACATCAGGAATCTGCTCGTTAACGTCCGTATCCCACTGCCACAATAGAGCCAAGCCTGTGTCCGGCTGGGGATGAGCATTACGGCAGTCATGCAGGCACAATTTAATAACCGAATCAGAGAAATGAGCCAGTCATGCAGACAAGTGTTTGGTGCTGCTCACTTGTGTGTTTTTTTCCTTAACTTTTTTTTGGCCCATTTAATCCCAGACATCGGGAAGCGGCCGGCATTCATCCATACAGTCATTCACTCTGTCTTCATGTTGTGGTTTTTGTGAGGATTAAAGGTTTTGGAAGCAGAGTGCCAGTAAACATCTGAGCCACTGTGTTGAAGCTGCTGCTGCTGTGTGTCATGAGGTTCACGCCCTGCATTGTGTTGGGATGGAAACTGATTTAGGGCTCATCGCTTAGTGGAGCAAGACAACTATAATTATGACTAGCACCAAATATATGCATTGCTGTGGGTACGTGACCCATGTTTGGAGCACATTTGCAGTAAAGGTGAAAATCTTGTCTTAAAATGTAGAACAACTGGACTTCTGTAGTTCCATGTTTTGTGTGTTTATGTGAGAACTCTGCAGCATTTATTCTCCAGCGCTGAAACCTCCAGCCCAGTCTGCTGACTACAGGTTTGGAGCCATGCGTCATATTTTAATACATTTATTTTAATCATAAATTGGTTGAAACAACAACACATCGGACCATTGTGCTGATCGGTTAGGGTTTGGGTTTGTTTACCTTCGTCTCATTTGCTAACCGAAGCCTTGGTGTTGGTTCCCATCAGCCCGTTCTTTCTCCATGCGTGTTGTGCAACAGGCGGCGTGTCCTGCAGTGTGTGAGAGCTCATCGTGTTACTGTGCTCCAGTAACTCAGCCCCAGTTCCTGCGGTGAGCCGGATCAGGATATATGTTTCCAAACCCAGCAGGGTGGGACGTGTTGGGTTTGATCCCATAAAAAGGAAGGAATGGCCTTCGGGGGCTGGATGTAAACACAAATACCTGGGCCTGATACGGTGGTTTTGTTGCTGCTGTGGTGCAGAAGATGGAGCTAAGTCTTTGTGTTCATGTGTAAGGTGAGCGGGGAGGGATTTCCCGAGCAGCCCGTAAACAGGTTCTGCTTTCATTCTTTTCCATTCAGGCTGTGAATAGCAGGTGTCAGGGTGACTCCTATGGATCCAAACTCTTTACTTTCAATTTTTGAAGTTTCCCCCCAAACTAATGTGAGCCGTGAGACCGGCTTGAGCGTGGATGGATGAACCCAGTAAACCTGAGGCCTCGTCATGGATTTCAAAAGACAGGAGACAAGCACATTTTTATTGAACAAAGAAATCCACAATAGCTCTTGTTGTTGCACTTGAATTGTTCACAGTACATCACACTTTTGCAAAACACTAAAAAAAAAATTAAGCAAAAGAAAGGAAAACAAATTAATTCCACAGACGTGATGTTCCCATATAACCAGAACTGTAAAGGGAAAACCAACCTACGTGTGTCATGGCTTTGCGAGTGCTTACGCCCTACAGCTGTCATCGAGCAGCACATCAACGCTACAATCATTTAATGCAAAATAGATTCTTTGGATTTGAATGTCCTGATGTCGACCCGACTGTTTAAGACTGGGCAACCTTCCCAACCCAACACCGAACCTTCTGAAGCGTCCATTGTTGACTTTCTCTGTGAATGTAAAATGGAGCCAAATCTCTCCCAGTGTTGGCTGAACTGAGTGAATATGCTTCAACAAGTGCCTGCTTTAGAAGTTCATAGATCTCCTGTCATGAATCCTGACACAGTGATGATTTGGCTGGTTCACCTCCAGTTTGATGTCACTGGTACCCGAGCAGTAAAAGCACATGAAGCGTCCCCACGTGGCCTCTGGTGAGCTGTGGGTGAAGCTGGCAGTATCACTCTGTCTCTGTTGCATTGGTTTGTTAGAGTTTAAAGTATAGAGAAGATAAACGTATACTTCTGACTTTATTATAGACTCTTCTTAATCGGTGACAAAACATGAAAAACAGCTTGAACTAAAACAGATTGATCTGTTTAAGAGTATAATCACAGTAGATATTCTGTGTGCTCTAGTTATGTTCTCGTTGCATCGTTTCTACTCGGCAGCAGTAGAAAGCATGACAGAGAGGTACACAAGTAACTACTGGTGTGTGTGAGCAAAGACTTAAAACATGAGGAATGCATTTCCTTGCGTCAGAAAAAGATGTGTGTATATATATATAATCTGTAGGTATGATTGTCATTCAGCAGTAGAATCAGTGGGTTTGTCAGCATTTGGTTGTACTAGTGTGGCATCTGTTCACAACTTTGCCTTGTTGATTTACATTCATGCACAAACACACACGAATGTGTTTGTTTCCTAAATTAGTGTCACCTATTGTGTTGAGCTTATTCGTAGCTGAAGCCACTAGTTCTGGTCTGGTTGTCAGTCGGGTTCGTGATACTTGCTGCACAGCCCTTTCCTCACCTACCACACCGGCGGCAACTGAACACGCCCCAGACTGGGTCGGGTCAGAGGCCCAGGAACTGGCTCGCTGATTATTGGTCATCCAATAAATATTGCACTTATTGTTGAAAGAAAATCTGCAGTGCGACTGGAATCAAAAGGATGTGTAGTGAGCGACGTCATCCAGAGATAAAGAAACAGCGGATCAAAGGTGACGGAGCTGAAGTCACCCAACGGGCTGGAGGATGACTCCACAGGACAGACGAACAGAGAGGGAGCACGATAAGGCTGCATGTCCACCGGGAGCCTGGTCCTGTGGGATGGACAGGCTGCTGCACCACTCAGTGGTCGCCGTGTTCATAAAGCCACAACAATTACAATATTTCAGCTTTCAGAGAGAGTGCTGAGGAAAGGCTTTGAGCCGCCTCGAAGCAGGAGATGAATGCTATGCTCCACCTTAGTGTCTGGTCGTGTTCATGAGCGTATGGCAGTGGTTACGTTCAGTTCCTGTGGGTGAAATGAGGATCTATCTAAAATAAACATAAAGGACAATTTGCTGAGGTTAGAGTAACGGCTGAGCTCTTTTTTTTTTCTTTTCAGTTTTTCTTAAAACCCAATGGCTCCGGAGTGTGCTAGGCTGGTGGTCGGTTTAGAGAGTGACTAAAGACGATGTTACACCTGAGGCTGTAGCTGAGCGGGGCAGTGTTAAGGGAGTCTTCATGAGGCTCGAGGGTCGAAGGGAGGATGCTGCGAGACGTCCGTCAGCGCCGCTCCAGGAACCAGATCTCGTTCTGACGGTGGCTGTGAGCCGGGTTGGTGTAGCCGGCCACGATGAACGAGTCGTTGACGCACACGCCCGGAGAGTCCAGCAGCTCCGCCATGGCGTTGATCTGACCGACGATGGTCATTTCATTGGTGGGACCAGTGAAGGGCCTGGAAGATGGCATCAGATGTCAGCGTTAGCGCCGCGTAGCAACAACAGACCAACTGACTGCAACACAACACTGTGCCGTCAGCACTAACGAGACGAGGGAGCTGCTATTTTAGTCCCAACCAACCTGGTGTACACGACGGCGGCCGGCCAGACCTCTATGATGATGTCACTGTCATACGGTTGTGGCGGCTGGGCCTGATGCTCGACAGGAAGGTAGTACGCCACGGTGACGTCATGGGAAATCACAGAGTGGTTCTCGTCTGTGCGCACCACCGTCACGATGGGCAGCGTCATGCCAAGGTAGTCGCCTGGATGAAGACGATTTATTTTATAATTGTCAGGCTGATGAGAAAAACATGGAGAATATTTCCAGCGATTGAAAAAAGACCAGAGCTGGGTTACGTGTGTCTCTTTTGGACTCACCTAAGGAGTTCTGCTGGCAGATGTATCTCATTATCCTCATAAAGCCGTAGCAGATGCTCTGCTCATAAGTGTCCTCACGCATGGTTATACAAGCCCAGTGGCCCTTCTCATAGTGGCGCTTCTCGTACAGCAGCTCCCCACACTGACAGAGAGAGAGAGCAACAAAGACGTGGAACCTCAACACCTGATGAATGCAAACCAATGGCTGGACGAACAGAAAGCTGTCGTCTACTAACTCTCATGTAAGCTCTGCTGCTGGAAATACAACCCAACACAGCGTCTGGCCTCGTGGACGTGCATGAGAAGTGATGAAATGTTTGAGATGTTCTAAACCTAACGAAGGCTTCAGGTAAAGATGTGTAGGTTTCTGCTGAGTAATGTGAACAGCTTTCAATCACGAGAGCTCAGGACTCGGGATGCCTGGGATGTTTTTAAGTTTTATTTGGACAGATGACGCGTTACGAGGCCGGGTTGTGTCATGCATGTAGTGCTGGTTGGTGAGGTTCTTCAGACTGCCAGTAGACCGATGGGTGTCCTTCAACCAGGGCTGCAGCCAATCAGAGAAAAACTTGTCCCTGCTTTTTGAACCAACAGGTGAATAAGTGAGTGTACTCTACCTGCCAGCCTTACAGCCTGAATAAACAGAAAGCTTGTACCTGCAGCATATTGAAATCATTCTGCTCCAGTTATTTTACACTGGCAGAGTACAGCAGACTGCAGCTGCCCTTATTAATACGGCTTCACAGACAGTTCAGCCTCCTGCTTCCACACGACTTTACGGACATCAGTGGTAACTAAATACTAAATCAGTAAATTGGTTTAGAGGAGGTAAACATTCAGTAGATATGAAATAAGTTAGATCCATATATAATGATTGCTGTAGCAGCTTTTTCCTCCTGAAAGCAGCCCTGCTGATTATCTGACCAGAAACAAGCTGGTTGGATGAGATCATATCAACCAGACAATCTGGAGACTACAGCCCTACTGTTACCTTAAAAAGAAAAAAAGAATCCAAGTATTTCATGTAAATCTTTGGTTCTGACCTTTAAACCCATCGTTACTACGTCCAGGTGTGTCATCCAGGTGTGGCCCCTGCTGACCGACTGTCTGAAGTCTGCTTGCTGTCAATGTGCTGCCATCTTCTAAGAAACTCCTCCAAGAACAGGGAGCCACGATTGTCCTTTGTTTAACCCGAGTCTCGCACCAAGTTTTCATGAACTAATTAAGCTAAACCAATTAGCTCTCTTTATTTATACGGTCCCCTAAGGAGTTTAAACAGCTTATTGTGTTGGGCGACACGATCATCTGCACAGAAATAAATAGCTGACCCACACTCACGAGGATGATCTTGGCGTGACTGTAGATGAACAAAACCGTTTGTGTTTTTATACGACGTCTGATTATTAATATAGGAGTAAAATAACATGCAGGCTGGTCATCTACTGCAGGCTCGATGGAATTTAACTGGACCAGCAAGAAAAACGGCAAAGAAATGATCAGTTAGAATATTTACTGAGAGCTGTTTGAGCAACATGTTTGTGTATCCAGATCACTGCTGATCCAGACATGCAAACACGTCCTTATTTAACCTGCTTTTAGTTACTGGATCCTGTAGAAACGCTCCCTCATCCTGCCTGTACTGCTGTGGATGTGCAGCACCATGACAATAAACTGGATTTGATGTAAAATGTCCAATTCGGCTCCACTGGTGACTTTTCTCCAGTTCTGCTGCTCTTCAAAGGTCCGGTTGTCTCAGGATGCAGCTCTTGTTCTTGGTGCAGACACACTGGGCTCCTTTAAACCTCTAATCTGATAGTTTTCCCCTCTTCATGTAGAACATGAAATATACAGAAAAGTATATAAACACTGTGTCACAGAGGGTAAAGTGTGAGCGGTACCTTCTCTTTGCGTGCCAGGAGGGTGAACGGTACGTGCTCTCTGGAACTGCGTCCTTGGTTGTTGCTCGTTAGCTGCTGGATGGGCTCTGCCAGATCTGTCAAAGAGGCAAACAGACGGTACACGGAGAGCTGAAACCATGAGCCAAACAGTAGGAAGTGTTGACACAAGGAAAAGCACTTGCATGAGATGCTCGGTGATGTGTTTGTGCTGGACAGGAGAGCCAAACACCTGGCTGATGTTTTGAACAGGATGCAGCCAGGCCTCTGATTGTTCTGGCTCCCATGGTATTGATGAAATCTATTATCTGGACATATGCAGGGTCCCTCCTACGATGTTCATGCACTTCACATGACTTTAATCGGCTCACGCTGCAGCCTGCTGGCTCTTATCTGTATGAAAGGTCCTCCCTTCCACTAATCTGTTGGCTGTTTGGGAGAGAACCTGCTGCCAGACGGCAGAGCACTGTGCCAGGAAGTCGCAAAAACTTTCTTCAAGCTGATGGAGAGAACACTGATTAAAGCTGCCCAAGGCCAGGTATAGACGAGCTCTAACACAGAGACGACAGCCAGGGGTTGGATTTTACCAACTCCTTCATGACGTTTACATCATTTCATGCTTTATCTTTAAAAATTAAATCTCTTCTCTAATCTCTGACAGCCTGAACACACTCACACACCTTCTACGATGCCTACGTGGTCAGACTGAGCAGCATCACGTTCAGTTGGTGAGCTGTCACATCCAAGGCACTGGAGGTGAAGCCAGTTCAATCACATTTTGTTAATCAATACTATGGAGGACAACTGGGTCAGAGGGACCGGTGCTATTTATGTGACCGGTCGCTGGACAGCCAACAGAGCTGCAGGCTGATGTGACAGACAGAGAACGTGGGCGTCTCAGCGATATGAACTCACTCAGTACGATGTCATGAAAACACACCTCGGCCTAAATCACCGGCCGGTTGTCGACGCGTACAGGCACATAAAGCAGAACACACTCATCGGTTTCTATGGCAGCGCTCCCAGGGCCGCTCTGTTGATGCACGGCGGTCAACAAACACGGTTGTTTGTGTACTCAGGCTGTAGTCACGTCCCAGTTTCAGTCGGGTTACTGTTCTACTAACCTCGGCCTCGCTGTTTTCACCAGCTTTATGAAAACCTGACGCATCATTTTGAGGTGTTCTGTTCATAATCACACTTTATTTTGTTTTACATCCATCCCTCAGGGCGTTGCCTTCTGACAGGATGAGTATAAAATGCTAAATGTGTTGATTATATCAAACCCAGGAAATACGGGAGGAGCTCACAACTTTCTGACAAACAGAATACATCATGTCATTTTTCATTTCACTGATCTCAATGCATGTCGTTAGTGTGTGTGTGTGTGTGTGTGTGTGTGTGTGTGTGTGGCTTTTCTTACCTGTTGTGTAAATAATGTTAAACAACGTCATGTCAGAGTGAAGGACAGATATGTACATTTGATTTGCGACATGATGTTTTTAAAGTCAGAGACATGAGATGGAGCATTACCTTATGAGACGCCATCAAACGCATGATCGTCACACGAGGACGGTGGCATGACCGTGGCATGAATGTGGCATGAACGTGGCATGACTGTGTGAAGCCACTGACCTGAACGGTTTAAAGCCAGCAAAATGCTGGAGGTATGGCTCCTAAATAACCAGACCAGCTGAACCACAGCATGCATGTCTGAACCACGAAGTACACGTTGTTCAAGCATAAACAGTCCATGCAGGTTTTAATTTGCTTGAAACAGATAAAATGTAATTATAATATTAGTGTCATGACTTTTCAGCCCTATTAGACGTCTATGAAACATTAAATGTTTTCGCCTGTCAAGGCTGCAGCCGGCCACATGTCCATTGAACGATTTCAGTAAAATGGTCCCGTAGCTACTTTGCATCAGGGACAATGCCAGTGTGTGTAGGTGTGTGTGTGTGTGTGTGTGTGTGTGTAGGTGTGCATATGCATATATTTTTGCATGCCATCACAGACTCTGCCAACCACTGTAGAGAAGGTTTGATGTGTAGACTAACCTGCAGTATTAACTTGGGATGCACGATATATCGGCATCCACATCGGTATCGGCCGATATTAGTGATTTTTCCAATATATCGGTATCGGTCTGATGAACAGATTTAGCCGATGATTGTCTAACATCAGCGCCTTCGTCTCTACGTTTCATATCGCTGCTGTTTCACAGATGTTTTCACTGAAACGGTCTTGAACATTAAATATGTTTATGTATGTTTTACTTTTGTACGTAGTAAAGAAGACTATGTGGTCTAGTTTGGGCTTCTTTTGAATAGTTTTCACGTTCTCACAGTGCTGACTGATACTGATTGTTTGGTGCAAACAAAAATATGAGTATCGACATCAGTGATGTTGGTTATCGGTGATATCAGAAATGTTGATGTCGGATATCGGCCAGAAATGTTAATATCGTGCATCACTACTATTAAGACTTGCTCACAGCAGCACTCATTATCAGGTAGTAAAACCACCGTACAGTGACGGACACAGATTACACACAAATCTTTCCTCATGTAGTGTCACACCAGGTTAGCGTGGCTAAAGCGTCAACATGCAGTCAGGCAGGTTTGTGTCATCTGAAACTAGAACACAGCTATTTCTGTTTGTGTTGTGTTGGGCGTGCTAGCAGCAACAGGAAGGGAAGCTAACACGAGGTCAGGTTTGTTTGTTTGGTGTTCACTGATGTGAAGCTAAACCCACCCGGTGCAGTGGCTGTTAAAGGGCACCACTGGCCTGGATCGTAGGACGGTAAATGTTGAAAAGCATGAAGCACTTCAGGCGTCCACATCATCAGATAATATTCTTTATATTCTTATATTAGTAAAACATTTCTTGTCCTCTGACCTCGCGTCACGATGCATTCTAAGCAGTATGAGTCACTGTTCATTATAATATCATCATATTATCATCTAATATCAGGAAAAACTCACAACAGCCACTCAAATGACT